TTGGCGCCTTGATGTTATACTTAAAGGGAAGTCGTCAATTCATCTAGAGACTCCTTAGAAACTGATTTTTTTTCTATAAATAGAGGTGTTCAGATCATTTAGTTCCATATCTCATCTCATATCTTTGTTCCACTGATAACATGTATCGTCGCTGGTGAGGAAAAGTCGTTTATTCGAGAAAGAAGCCTCCGATGGACATGCTGTTTTAGAACATACAAAGTTTCAATCAATTTAAGAGGGAGTTGAATCAGTGGTAAGAAGGAGACATTGATGAAGGGGACAAAATTTAAAGTATCGAGATACTTGATCAGCTGCGTGGATGGGTTCGTGTTAAGACTAACAACGATGCAAGGGAAGTTATGTTTGGACCGAATGATATTAGTTTGATTGTGGTAATCAGTTAGAAATGTTTTATGTTTCTTTTTTGTTAGCTGTTTTATGTGTCGTATGTGTTGTGTGTTGTTCGCTGTTAACATTATTGTAACAAAGACTCATCAATATATGAAAATATTTGGTTACAACAACTGAAACGATAAGCTAAATCATGATGCAGATGTTCCTCTGACACTGGAACAATTTTTTCGGTTGTGTCCGGGATGACGACATATACTGCACAATCTTATCAATTTTTTCGGTCGTGTCCGGGCTGACGAAAATATTTGTGGCAGTGCAACTGTGACGTGGCTATATGGAAGCTAACTTCCAATAATCGCTTATATTTCTGTAAGACACAACAAGCTGAAACTTGCAAAGTGGATTACAACAAATAATGACATACCTTCTCGAATATGTTCGGTGTATATTGAAATCAACAGAGTTATCCATATGATATTTTTTAATTGCTCATACAAAATCTTCCTTAGTACGAAAATTTTCTCCTTCTTTTAATTCATTCCTTGACTGCATATACGGGTTGTGAAACATATTTGCGGATCTCTCATCGTCTTGTAAGTCCAAGTCTATCATATATTAAGGAGGACAATATACATAACCTGTAGGTATTAACACTTGTTTTTCATCCTCAATGTTGTTGTTCAACAACTAATCGACCAACGTCTCTCTTTATTCTTCTTCTTCATCAACGATGTTGACATCTGGTTTAGTTTCATCTGATTATTCTATTTCAGTTTCATCTGAGTCTACATCTGTTGATTGATCAATGATCTGAGACTGTTGAGATGGAATATTTTGTTGGAGGAACGTATACAACTCAATATGGTAGAAACCAGAATGTTCGTGACTAACGAACATATTTTCAACATCTTCGTCATCTCGCACTTTAAGTGGATAAAGTTTAACGTGGTTGGTTTAAAAAAAATTGGGTTTTGATATATTATTTGGGCTATAGGACCAAACCCTAATTTTGATTCCAATCTTTCTTTGAAATGCAAGAAACTTGTGTTTCTATTGATTGTGAATCGGAAAATACCGGTGTTTTAAAAACCAAACACAATGTCATCAGAGACATATGTCTCTCTGTTGTAGTGGGTGTTAACAAAGTATCTTGTTGCATATGACATACTAAAAGAGCTTGTTAGAGACTTACTAACTTTGGTCTGCATGCATGGGAACATATTAATATGCATGGGACACGTAATCAATGTGCCACTTGAATTGGAGACATGGTTAATGGCATTAAAGGGAGTCGCCAACTCACATGGAGACAAGGTGCATTCTGAGCACACTGTGTCGCCATGTGGGTGTCAACATGCTATGCATGCATGAAGCAATCTCAGCTATGTACACAACTATGTTACATGCAACCAAGTGTCTCCAATTGGAATGACGACCCTTTGTAATGGGTGAATGCAGTCGCTAATTCATCTGGCGACATGGTACAATGCATTATTCTCACATGTGACACCTAATTCACTATATAAGGAAGCTAGATGTATAGGTAAATACATCATCTGATTCATACTTGTTGCAGAGAGGTAATATCAATTCTAGAGTGTTAGTCATCTGATTCACATTTAATCAGTTATAATGGTATTGTTGACAATGGGTGAAACATATAGAGGCATTGTCGCAAATATTGTGAATTATGTAAGTGTTGATTTTTAATGTCTCTATTAATTTTTATTGTCTTTGTTAATTTTTATTGTATCTGTTAATTTTTAATGTCTCTTATAATTTTTAATGTCTTTGTTACTTTTTTTTATTTGACAATTATGTAGGAAGTCTCTAAGTTTCGGTGTCGTGCCCATGAATACGTTGCACCCGACGAATTAATTCAATCATATATTGAGCTCGCCGGTTTCAGACATGTAAGTAAAATCATGTCTTACTCAGTTGATGCAAAGTTTATACTAGCTTTGCAAGAGAGATGGTGCCCAGAGACATAAACCTTCTTTTTTTCCAACCGGTGAATGTACCATGACCTTAGAGGATGAGTACATGTTACTCAGTTTGCGTATTGATGGTAAGGCGGTCAATGGACCAGCAAACCTCGATGGTTCAATTTGTGAGGAACTTCTGGGTGCCAACTTGCTAGATGAGAACTCAATAGGCTAAGGTATCTTACTTTTGCGCCTAAAATCATCGTACGTCGGTTTTATATTAGATGAAGATTCTATAGAAAAAATGAAAATAATAAAAACCAGGTGTTACCTTATGCTTTTAATTGGTTTATTTTTATTTCCCGAAGACACTGGTTCTTCTATGCACATTATGTATTTACCCTTATTGAGAGACCTAACTAAAACAAGAGAGTATAGTTGGGGTTCCGCCTGTCTGTCTTATTTGTATAGCTCTTTTTGTAAGTGCGCCAAAAAAAAACACATCTACTTTTTCTGGATGCGCCGTTTTGCTCAAAGCATGGGGTTGGTCTAGATTGCCATCCCTAGCGCCCGTCAACCACAATAACTTTTTCTTCCCGTATGCACAAAAGTAAGTTACTAACTTAATCTTAGTTTATTTCACCTTACTAACTATTGTGTCTAACTAATTGATTTTGAACTTTGTGTGGTTTAGATGGCCGGCTAAGGGTATGACTTACAATAGATACCCTAGACATTGTATCATTCAATACCATAATCTGTTCGATCACCTAACACCTGCAGTTGTAAGGCCTCTAAACAAATCAATTTATATTTTATATAAACTATTTTATGGTCTAATATTTTTCTGTTCTTCAGTTCATTTAGCGTCCATATCTAAACATGGAACACCTACATGAAGTCAGAGAGAAAGATGTTGCCGTTTAGACTGCATGTGTGTCGATCATCAGATTCACAACTATGAAGATACACAACAGTTATCGTGTCAAACTATAATTTGGAATGCATCAAAACATCCTAGATCCGCCTGTTGACATCAGTAAATGACATCTAAAAAGAGTTAATGATCAATGGGACTTTCTCAACTAGAAGGATTTTGCAAAATCTAAGCGTCGTAAATGGATGAACCGCAACGCCCATGTCTTACGTGACCCAGTGATGGCAACCCCGTCTATACCAACTATTAATTATATGGCTTGGTACAAATTGGTTGCAACTGAGTTTGTCTTTGAAGACAGGTATTTATATGATCCACGCCAAACCACCTAGACATAAGAAGCTTCAACGTCTAACACACTAGGAAGACCATGTTACTCATAACCCCTACTCAACAAAATTATCAACCCATTAACCATCCAAACACGCCAAACACCCAACCACAATACCGAGAACGTCCCTCATACCATCTCTAACACACTGACTACTATCCAGAAACTCAATATGGCTATGACCCCAACACAACATCACTATATAACCAAAATGAGGGTACATCATACCATAGCCATAACGCCCAAACATCTTTCCATAGCCAAAACGCTCTGACATTATACCCTAGCCTACAGACTCAACCATCTCAACAACCTTATGACTTTCAAACACCACTACCATTTCAACCTTTCACCAAAAAATCCTTCACATCAATGTTCCTCTTCAATCGTCCAGACCGCACACTAATGACCCCTTCATCACATCAGAACTACTTTGGCATGAGTCGCACACTCAGTTTCAACACACAAGACCTTATGGAAATGCAAGAAATTCTTAGGGAACCATCTGAGAATGTTCTTGAAACATCAACTCCTCAAACACCTGCTTGAATCAACAACGAGGGGAACGAGTGCAACGAGTGAGGGTGCCTAAAGGACGTGGAACCGGTGGCCGGTATGACCCACTCGGTCCCTAACATTAATTTATGTAATAATTTATTTAATTAATGATAATGTTATTTATTTTGGGTAAAAAAATTTACAAAATGCACCATGTCTCCAAATGAATTGCTGACAAGGCTTTAAGTATAACCACAGACGCCAATTAAATTGAAGACTGCATGATGTATCTCCAATCCAATTGACAACTCTCCTAAAGTCTTAACAAAGAGTCGCCAATTGATATGACACTCTCATGCTTTCAGAAATCCTAACTGAAGTACTTTTAAATTTTTTTTTAAAAAATGAGATATTTTAATTTTTTTTTTAAAAAGTAAATTATTTAGATAAAAAATTCAAAAAAAAAGGTGCGACCTTATCATTTCCCTATATTCTATTAGACTATACTTCATTTTAGCTCATCAATTCAAACCTAATCTAAAATTTGCATTGTTTTTAATATATTTGTGTTGTTTTTAATATTTGTGTTTATGAGAGGCCGGGCAGTCTACTTCATATAACTTCATAAAATAATTTTGTCTGATAACAAAACCTTATATTGTAATAAAGTATAAATATTTATGAATTGACCATTTAGATATAAATCAAATCAAATCATTTTACCCCTTTATATTATTTTATTTCAATAAATATTTTTTTGAACTTGATAAAATAATGATGTAAATTTCTTTTACATCTTTAATAAATAAACAGTGAATTTTGCGTGTGAAAATAAAATTTGAAGTTTCCTAACTGGCTATAGCGAACCCTTCTCTTCTCTCCTCCCTTCACTCTTAAAACCGAATTTAGGGTTTCTGCCCCCAAAAAATTCCAATTCCTTCCTCTCAACTCAGCAATGGGTAAAAGGAAACAGAAGGAGCCGCAACAAACCCCTAAAAACGACACCGTCTCAGCCCCTTCCAGCGTTTTCGATGTTATCTTCGGCAACGCGCCGGAACAGATAACCGGCGCCGCCGCTTCTCTTTTTTCCGATGATAATCCCTTTAAGAGAAAGCCTCCACAACCTACTCTCATTGCTGACGTTGTCGATTACACTCCAAACCCCGAAAACGGCGTTGTAGATGAGAAGAAGAGAAAGAGGAACAAAGAGAAAAGCCCCGTGCTTGATTCAAAATCTGCAATCGAAGTTTCGGAGAAGAAGACAAAGAAGAGAAGTGGTTTGAACGAGAAGGAAGGGGAAGAGAAAGAGCTTGTTTTGGATGTAGAAGCGACTGGGAAGAAGAAGAAGAGGAAAAGGGATGAGGTTGAGAAAGAGTGGGAGGAGAAGAAGTATGGCATTGTTGAGGGAGGAGATGAAGATGAAAGGGAAGGGTTTAAGGATGAAAAAGTTGGGAGCAAGAGAAAAGTGCGAGACAATCCAGCAGATATGATGGTTTCAAAGGAAGGTTTTGATGATGAAGATAAGCTTTTGAGGACTATTTTTGTTGGAAATTTGCCTCTGAAGGTGAAAAAGAAGACTTTGTTGAAGGAGTTTAAGAAATTTGGTGAAGTTGAATCTGTTAGGATTCGCTCTGTTCCTTTACAAGATGTAGGTATTCCTTTTGTTTATTGTTTTGGTTTGGATTTGTTGATACTTTTTTATGCTTCAATGATATTGTTTTGATGCTAACTTCATGTGTATTCCTTTTTTTCATGAACCAGACTAAAAAGCCTAGAAAGGGGGCCATCCTTGCGAAGAAGATCAATGAATCAGCTGAAAGGTAAATGTTACTCAATGACCTACCTGCAGCTTGTTAAGATTATTAATTGGTTGTAGAGAATGCATTTATTTTGTATACAATGTATTAAGGAAAAGCTTACATTAGGCTAGTGTAAACGTTCTGTTTTGATGATTTGTAAGGAGTGATGTAAATTCTCCTTAGTGTAATTTATATTGCAAGTTGGTTTTTTTTTTTTAAGTGGTTTTGTTCTTGGTCGACTTGTATACAGTTTGATATGATATGAATACTTGCATTTTAATGTAAAGGAAACCTTTTCATATAATTCTAATTGAGAAATTTTGGGGTTTGCAGTGTTAATGCTTACATTGTTTTCAAAACTGAGGAATCTGCTCAGGCTTCATTGTCTCACAACATGACAATGGTATGTACTTGTTCTCTAAGTTGGATTAGATCTATTTCTGCCATGTATTTCAGTTGAAGGATTGTGGCTGACAATCTTCTAATATTATTGTTTCATTATCTGACTGTAGGTTGAAGGAAACCACATTCGTGTTGACAGGGCATGCCCGCCTCGCAAGAAACTTAAAGGGGATAGTTCTCAGCTTTATGATAGTAAGAGAACTGTTTTTGTGGGTAATCTCCCATTTGATGTAAAGGTACGTTTCCAATCTGCCATTTTTATTTAAGATCACAAAATTTCATTTCCCCCTGTTGCATCTATATTGTCCAATGATTCTAACATGTGATCTTTTGGTGCAGGATGAAGAACTTTATCAGCTATTTGGTGGTATACCCAATCTAGAATCAAGTGTAGAAGCTATAAGAGTTGTTCGTGATCCTCATCTTAATGTTGGAAAGGGAATTGCTTATGTACTATTTAAAACAAGGGTATGCTGTTTTGGTGCCTTATTTGCTATACATTTTGAAAAAATGTTTTCATTGTGTGTACTTGTATATATATTTTAGCTCAAACATGTCATGGTTGAGGTTTTCACATGCTTTCCTTCAGGCGCTAAAACATGGGGCTGTTTGTGACTATCCTATGAATACTAAAATTTGTAATCAAGAAGCCATCTTATTTGTCGGACTAATTTTAAGAACTGTATGCTATTATTACTAAAAATCGCATACCTTTTGGGTTGTATTCTGGAACACAAGTATTGAAATGGATGGTTATGTGTGCTTGGGGTTTTGTTAAGTTTTGTTTGAATGAGCTATGTAATATGCCTTCTCAGTAACTAGGTACATGTAATTTTTAGAAAATATCTCTCTTCGATGAGAATATAAGTAGTTAGAGACTGGTATGTGGTAAAAATATAGTTAAAGACACATTTTATACTTTTAAAGGACACAATCTGAAAATCATTTTAAGCCTGTTTACCAATATCTGATTATTTCACTGCCCAGTCCCGCTCCCTAATATTTGGGATGCAGACTGGAAGAGAACTTGAGCTTTCAGTTGATGAATGATGTCCCTTGGACATACTAGGAAGAAACCATTAGAGGCTGACGACGAGCCCCTTAAAATATATCATTGTCATGGAGAAACCATCTTATTTATCTTATTGCTTTTAGAATTTCATGCTATGTTATCTATTTCTTTAAAGCATATACATTTTGCAACATAATCTGGAACATAAGGATAGTTGAATGTGCGGTGGTTCTATTGACTTACTTTGGCTTGGATTGGCTATTTTTTTTTTAATATTATATTATGCCTTTCTCTGTAACTAGATGTATCTCATTTTCAGAAGTTATTTTTTTCAGTGAGTATATAAGAGTTGATAATCATAGTACTGTACATTGGCTTGTCATAACAATAGAGTCAGGCTGCATTTTACTGAGTCCTCATAAATTGAAAATCTGATTATACAGAAATCCTTTTGGGGTGTAAACATGGGCTGTTTGATATCTGCAAACCCAATTCCTCATTTTGTCATGAAGGAAACCATCTTTCTGTTATATAATCCGGGGCATAAAAAATGAAATGGGCAATTTCATGTGCTGTGGTTTTGTTACCTCTGTTTGGATTATATGTTTCTTATATTGTAGTATGCCTTTTTGTTGTAGTTATGGACTTGCCATTTTCAGAAATTACCTTTGTTTAATGAGAAGTAGGTACTTTTGTTAAATGTTTATTTGTGGAAACTGTTTTAAGCTTGAACATTTTAATGCTGATATCTTTTTTCCTTTTTCTTTTGGCTTCTAACTGCTGGAGATGTTTTGGCTTTTCTTTGTTTTTTATGGAATTAGTTGTGCTTCATTGCTTTAGTTTACACACACTCCAGACCTCAAAGAATAACAAACAAAAGATAAAATGATAGTATTGATATTCTAAGTGGTGGTTGGTTGACTGGATCTAATTTGAGACATATTGCTTTTTGTTAAAGAAAAACTTTATTGCATTTGAAAAGTGGCATAAAGAATGTTCATACTTATTTTCAGGCCTTATCACTTGGAAGGCTGGACCTCTGTATACAGATATTAATTAATTGTTTGTGATTGCAGGAAGCTGCCAATTCCGTTGTTAATAAACGATCCTTGAATCTTCGAGATCGAGCATTGAGACTCAGTCGTGCCAACGCAAATGCTAGTACTACCCCATCTAAAAGGCCATACTCTCCAGCAGCACGACCCAGTCATGGCAAACCAGATGCTACTCCATCTAAAAGGCCATACACTCCAGCAGCACAAGCTCATAGTACTCCTGCAAAGAAGTTTTCAGCTGCTTCAAAGTCTCCTTCAAGCAATAAAAACGGGTCAAACAGAAAAGCGACTGCATCTTATCAGGGTCTGCGGGCAACCAAATCTGATGTCCACAAGAAAAGTCATGGTGGAGAAAAACCAAAAGAGCGCACAAAGAAAAGACCGACAGTGGCTGCCAGAAAGGCTAAAGCTAAAGTGCAGCAGGAGGGTGGTACACCCAAACAAGCAGGGTCAAAAGGTACCCCAAAACAAGCAGGGTCAAAAGGTACACCAAAACAAGCAGGGTCAAAAGGTACACCAAAACAAGCAGGGTCAAAACGCAAGTTTGATAGTCGTACTCCTGACAGTTCTGGACGAGTTATGAAAGCTCAAAAGAAGCGGTAGATTGTTTCTGATGGCATCAGGGATTAAATTTTGTTTTCTTGTTAGAATTTTCTAGCTCTAAAGGACATGGAGGAAAGAGTTTGATTGATGATTTTATGCAGTCGGGCGTTTTCAGTGTCCTCAGTAAAACTCCCAGTGGAATTTAATATAAGGTGCAACTTTCCACAGTTAAAAAAGCAGTAGCGAGGGATAGAAATTAGCTCTTGTATCTTTTAAATCATTCTACATTACTCTTGTATCTTTTAAGGTTTGTTGTGGCACTTTGTCTTGAGAATTGAAATGGCCCATCAATTTTTGCTCCTGAACTTCTGTTTATCAAAAAGTTCTAGTAAAGCTGCTTTCGTCTAACATTGGCAGCGATATCTGTATGATACATTTTTTTGTATGATATATTTTTTAATAGATTATTTGTTGGTTTTAGTTATCTTATTAATTTAATTTAATATTTTTTTAACGATTTTTTTATGCCTCAAATATTGTCAGTTCATAATGTTAATTTTTAGTATATATATTATATTAATTTTTTACTACGTCATTTATATATATTACTTTACTAGTATATCTATTATATTACTTTTAAGGGGAAATTTCACACATCCAACTATTAGAGGGACTTTATGACCTGCCGCAAGATTTAACAAGTAGTGGCAAAGTGGATGTTGTAATCATCAAATGAATTACAAGAGTAGAAAGATCCATTACATGGCAATGACCTATTACATGGCAGATTCACAAATTTTCCATATCTTCCGCAGAAAGAGAAATAATGATTCTACATACCTCAAATTTTATGTCCCCTTTTGAAAACTAAGATTTGAGTAGAAAACTCATCAATTTCGAGTACACAGCATCTGGGTTGGTGTAGATGAAATCTTTAAGTTTAGCTTGATCAAAGACATTCAAGAACTTAAAGTTCTCTCTTTTGAAAAAACTTTCATCAATAAAATGAGGTTTAAGAAGAGATTGATTATTAAAGTGTTTATCAAAGTAGCACTTTTGAATGGAGGTTGAGAAAGTACTCTAATTTTTAGCATGCAAAAGAAGAGCTTGATAAAGTTCTTGCTCTTTTTGGTATCATTTGGGTGATAGGTAATGATGATGATTTTGCACACATAGTAAACAAGAAGAGAAAATAAAATTCTTGCTCTTTTTGGTATCATTTGGGTGATAGGTAATGATGATGATTTTGCACACATAGTAAACAAGAAGAGAAAATAAAATTGTGAAGGATGAATGATCAGGAAGGAAATTTGTACATTTCTACGATTATTTGTGAGGGTTTCTTATTACACTCTATATGTTTTTTATAAATCTTGCAAAATTTTAAAAATATCCTCAATTTTCGTAAATGTATTTCTGGACGCACTATAATATACATATTTCATTCGTTTTTTAGTCGGACCCTAAAAATTTTGAAAATACATTTTCGAAAACAACAAAACTAACTTTCTCCACAAGTAGCACATGCATCGTTATTCTGCACCAACAAAACTAATAGTTGTTTATGTTCTCCACCCGCAAAACTAGCTTTCTCCATTACTACCACTAGTTTTTTTAATAAAACTATCCGTACTTAAATTAATTATTCATCCTTTTTTTATTTACAAAACCCAATTTTGGTTATAACTTGTAATGTTAAAGCTGGAAGGAGCACTGCGATTGAGATTGAGTATGTTGGTGTTGTTGCTGGGTTTGCCCCCAACGATATTGGTTGGATTTGTTAAAATAAATTGCTCAGAGAAGATAGTGATGCATGTGCTAGTGGTGAAGAAAGCTAGTTTTGTTGTTTTTGATAATATATTTTTAAATTTTTTTCAGAGATATATTTTCAGAACAAATTTATTCATATAATTGAGGAGCACTGAGATTGAGTATGCTAGTGTTGTTGTTGGGTACTGTATTTGCCCCCAACAATGCTGGTTGGATCTGCTAAAATAAATTGCTCATAAAAGATAGTGATGCATGTACTAATGGTAGAGAAAGCTAGTTTTGCTGTTTTTGGAAAAATATTTCTGAAATAAATTTATTCATATAATTGTGGGATTGACTTAAAAGCGAATAAAATGTGTGTATTTGATACGTCCGAAGATACATTTTCAAAAATTAAAAACATTTTTGAAATTTCACGAGGTGCTTAAAAAATATATAAGGTGCGTTAAAAAATTGCCAAATTTCTTGCCCTAATCTGTTAGATAATATTTACGTAATCGATTAAGATGCATTGGCAATTGGTTACAACATAAATTCAAACTATAATCGATTACTTGATGTATCTTTTGAATTTAGAATAGTCATAATCGATTAACTCTAGATTCAAATTAATTAGAAGACGAGAAAAAATAATCAGTTTCTTGTACTATTGGGCTGGTTTGATAATTCGTTGGCCCATTTCCTTTCAACACCATTTTTTTTTACTTATTGCAAAACGTTTAGACTTGATAAACACTTTAAAAAGACTTAAGTGATTAGATTTGAGTGAAAAAAATATGAAATAAAAATTAAAGAGTTAGTTAGCATTTGTTAGGGAGACATAAAGAAATTCTTTATTCTTTTTCAAACAGATGACTTATCTATTTTTTATCTACATGATATTTTGAGATTTAAAGAGACGCTCTTCTGTTATTTTTGTGTGGAAACAATGAAACAATTTTTTTTAAAAATTAATTTTTTCTTAACTTTTTAATGAGATGATAATTTATGATTTTCTTTTCTAGAACTCTCTTTTAAGAATAAAATTAAGTTTTTTTAATGCGAACATTCATAATTTTTTACAGATAAAATATCTCGTAACTTTTTAATGTTAGGAAAAGTTCTTTTTTGAAGATTTTTTTATAGGAGGTATCATTTTCTCATTTTGGAGTAGAGGATAAAAACTTAAGTAAGTCCATAGATGAGTACTTTGAACAACTATTATTATGATATCGTTTGAAACACGTTTTTGTAACATACACTTTCAACATAATTTTAGCTTTTTAACTTTTGATACCCATATTTTTTTGAGTCATCTTACGTTAGTAAAATATAAATAATTTTTATTAGAATTATGATTTTTTTTAAAGAAGTGAAATGAAACATTAGAGGTCATTTTATGTCATGTTTTTTCTTAAAGCAATATGACAATTTTACCACCATACATACACTTAAATATGTTGTGGTTAGAAGATCTTTTCACATGAAAAATCTTATTAAGGAATTGACACTATTCTCAAGTTGATAACTTAGACCAATTTTATAATAGGTTTCTCTTTAATTTGATAAGATCATATCTAAATTATTTATACCTTTAACAAATTTATTAAGGGTTCTATGCAAATCTTCAACTTTGTTTTTCGATTCCTCATATCCTACACAGTTGATGTTCATATTATCGGAGGAAGTGGAAACAAAAGTAACACTTGAAACACGCTTTCTACGTTGATGCATTTTCCCAATTAATTTATCATTTGTATTTTCAAGAGATTAATATGATCTTTAGAAGTCGAGATGATATATTTATCATACTCCTCTTTTTAGTGTTGATTTAATTGTTAGTAGGTAGAATAAATCAAACTCAAATCTAAATCTAATATGATTTCAAATAAAGGAACCATATTATAACATTTACCACTGCTGAAATAGATTGTTGCATTGATTAGTTTCTGACATGAATATATCTTTATTTGGACCAACTCTCATATCACAATAACAAAAGTTTCCATTCAAATTACTCATAACTCCGTTTTTCATGAACATAGCAAAGACATTAAAATTAATTGTCATTCCACTCATCATCATCTTCAACTTAGAATAATTATTCTATCAATTGTCTCCTCATTCTTATAGATTGTCAATTTATCACATAAACACATTCTATTAAATGTTTTTCTTTCTTGATTCACAAACAATCAATACTCCATGTTAAAGCATCTTGAAGGGGAGATATTTGATTATTATATTATTGTATGGTTTTACTGTATCTTGTAACCATGAATCTTCAAGTTTAATTCTTTTGAAATTCTAAATTAAATGTTGTTTATATATATATATATATATATATAAACACATTTAACTTAGAGTTTCAAAAAAATTAAACTTGAAGATTCATGGTTACAAGATACAGTAAAACTATATAATAATATTATAATAATCTAATAATCTAATATCTCCCCTTCAAGATGTTTTATATAAGATATAGTAAATTTTTAATTTTTATAATTTTTATCATTTCCCTTCCATCCATAAATTCTATCATAAATTGTATTATGGTATCAGAGAGATAATCATTCTTCTACCTGTTTCTTCTTCATCCTCCAAAAAGAATAGTTCATTTTTCATTTTTTTCTTCTTTTCTCGTTAGTGATACAATAAATCTTCACATTCATCACAACTCAAACATGTTTATTTGTTCCACGTGCTTATGAACAATTATTTATAAAAAAAGTTAAAAATTTATAAGACATAAAGATCAATGTAGAATGTAGGAAGAAAGATCTCCATGATATAAAAAACCCTTTTGTTGATGTAGTGTTCACTATGAAATTTTCCTTGATTTATTTCTTGATGAAGTGTTCTCTATATATGTTGCCATCAAATTAAGTTTCATTCAAATAACTTTTTTTGCCGAAACTTTTTATGAAGAATTATATCAAAAATTTTAAAGTATTGAAGACTCTCCACCAAAAAATCATTACCATTTTCTTCTCAATGGTTTATCATTCTCAAGATTTTTTTTCAAATTAATTTTTTAAATACACCACGAATTTGGGGATATTTTCTTCTTTATTTTAGAAATAAAGATAGTTAATTAATATTTCTATCAAGAATTCTAATACTTAAAGCTTTTCTAATAGACACAATTTCTTTTATTTTATAATTTCATAATACTTAGAGCATTCCTAATAGACATGATTTAAGTAACTCATCTTATATCACTTATCTTTTCATTTATGTATATCTAATAAATACGTAGGATATTGCAACTATATTAATTTTTTCGGGTACAAGTATAACTAATTATACATTAGTATGAAACGGTAACTTAAATAAAATACTCTCTGCAATTTTTTATAGAATAAATATGCTTCAACGGAAACAAAATTTATGGATCTATTGCATAACATTTAAAAATGTAAAATTATATGCTCTCAGTACCCAATTGTGTGTAGATGGATTAAATTGTATTTTTAGTGTCAATAAACTGATTATTTAATGTATTTTAAAAAATTATTTATTTATTTGTATAATAAGAATCAGAAGGAATAGTATAAAATGTTCCCCTTTTAACACTTAAAAATAAAGTTCTGCTACATTTCCTTCAGGATTACAATGAATAAATGTAACTTAGAGAACATATATCACTTTCTATAACCTTCCATTACTTTACTTTAAAGCATTCCCTTACTATTTTGTGATACCAAACATTCAGCAATATGACATTTGTACAATGAAAAAGAAATAAAAACTGATATGAATCCTAAAGAAAGAAAATATCAGGAGAACATTTTGAATGAACTAAATAATTGTAACTCGAAAACACGAAATAAAACGAGCAACTAACTAGTAAATAAGGGTATGTTTTATACATAACAACTTATGAACAATGACCAATGTGCATAAATTGATTCTTCCAAACCTCGTTTCTTGCCTCCTGCGTCAATAACATGATTGTCTTGTATTACTGCACACTAGATAATGAAAAAATCGGCGGAGAACCTGGTAGTAATAGTTTTCTGAAGATTCTGTACACATACTGGAGAAGGTGGTTTCTCAACTGTTATGAATCGCTCTTGCCCATTAGTGTCGGTGTAACTGAAACTATGCCTATGAGGAACAACGTGGCAATTGAGTTGAAATCATAGAGATCTCCAATTGATTGTAGTTCCCCAAGAGCTAACCCAGCCTGCATAACAAACACAAGAAAGTTAAACACGAGCACAATGACACTTGCAATTGCTGTCATTTTTTAAGATAGTTTGATAAATTCTTAAACCAAAACTCATAAACAAAGATGTTGGTTATCATATAAGTACTTACATATAAAAGCTATTTCTATTAAATGCTAAAGAGAACAAATTATAGTTATTTTGATAACCACATACCCTGACGGTGACATAAGCAGCAGGTATGAGTCCAATGACAGTTCCAATGAAGAAAATATGATAAGGAACATCCACAATTGGTGACGCGAAATTAATAAACGTGTTAGGAAGAGTTGGAGTCAGTCTAAGAAAAAGCATGTAGTTCAACAAACTCTTTCTTCTCTTAGCCACCTGAAAAACAAAAACAATAAATTATTCTCACATCAACTCAATTCAATTAAATCCAACGTGATCTAACATTGGAGTCGAACCGAACCTGAGTTTGGAAGAACTTCAACTTGTCTGGCCAGAGACAAAACAGAATAGGTCTTCCAATAACTTTCGACAGGAAAAAACACGAAGAAGCTCCCGCCGTGGCAGTGAACACAACCAAAGCCACGCCTTTAAAGACGCCAAAGAGTGCTCCGGCAAGCAATGACATGAACACAGTCCCCGGAATCATGAAAGTCTGCATGAAAATATAAACCACGCAGTATCCCACCAAGACTTGTGCCGTGTAATCACTTGTATAGCTCTCAAGGTTATCTCTACAAACACAAATACAAAATAGATTCAGTAACACAATTTACAATCACAACTTCCCATTCTACATCACCATCCACAATATGCGATTTTAAAGTCCTTTAAGTTGCGAGAATCGCGCTATGCAATCTCGATCGCAATCACGTTTTATTACTATTGATTCAAAGCATAACATTCAACAAACAAAAATAGCATATTAAAACCTGAACATGAATCTCTTCCAGATCTGATATGAAAAATCATGAAAAACCATAATTAAACAGAAACAACGGTATAGCATCAGATTCATTCAACAATTTTATTCAAAGAATAATCACATTTACAACAAATTAATAGAAAATATAATATGATGAAAAAAATTTCTTCAGGCAAAGCAAATTTCAGCACGTGCGTAATAAGAAGTAAAAAGCTTTTACCGTAGAAGTTGAAGATCATGGAGGCTACGAGGGCGTTTAAGGAAGCTGTAATCGGAATCTGGCATGGTGAGGTAAACACCGAGAAGACCGACGATAAAGCTCAACGCCACCGTTGAAGCCACTGTAGCTTCGAAAAAGCTCAACGGAAACTTCAACGAAGAAGGCTTAGGAGAAGGTTTGTTTACGTTTATGATTTCAATGGTGTCGCCGTCTTTTGCCATGTTTGTTTGATTTGATTAGGAGCGGTAACCAGGGTCGTTTTTTTCTCTCTTCTCTTCCTTATCTAGGTTGAAAGGAGGAGAGAGAGAGAGAAAAAGAGAACAATTCGGTTTGAGAGAGAAAGAATATACCTCAATTCTTGGTTGGCGACGTGTATATATATATATATGCATTGCAAGTTTACGATGCGGCTAACAAATTTAAGGATGTTGCTAATAGGGAAAAACAAAACTTTATATATATATTTTCGGCTAATTTGTTTTATTTAATAGTGATTTTAAAGGAATGTTAATTTTGTATTTAATTTTTGAAAATTTAAATTTATTTTTTCAAAATTTTAAATGTATTTATTAATCAACGTATTTAGTCTAATTTAAGACTAAATACATGCATATTTAATCAATTTTAAATTTATTTAATTAATCAATGTATTTAATCTAATTTAAGACTAAATACATGCATCTTTAATAAATTTTAAAAAGTATCCTAGATTAAGATAATTTTATTGGGTCTAAAAATGAATGACCCATAATAAAATCGCTCAAACTTGAACTAAGTATAATAATGTTGGTCGAGCACCTAAAGTAGGGTTGGTTGCCTGAAGCGCAATGCAGGTTGCTTAATTGGACTTTGGTCACCTCGCTCGAACTAAAATTTATGATTTGTCTCATTAACACACGTAGTTTGCGAGATGTCTAAGGAATAACAAATTGGAATTATCAATCCAAGAGAAAATTTTCTTCTCAATGCTTTGAGGAAGAATAAGTATTCCTCAACTCTCATGTTTTTGATCAAGAAATTAAGAAACAATTTTTTCTAGAATCTAATCCAGGGGTCCTTTATAAGATCCCAACCTTAGAGTTGGGAAGGGACCATTGACTAATTCCATAAAACACATAAAGTCTCTTGCAATTCCTACATGAGTATACTCTCTTTCAACTATTATACTTTTAACGAGTATATGTGATGTCCACTGTGAGGCCCTAGTAAAATAACATAGGTCACACATACATTCCCATTACATACCACCTCAATCACTATCCTCTAGATGGTGGCAACACGAGGCGTCACATCAACCAGTGGTAGTCTTAGTAACGATCATCAAGCCACGGTCGAAATGTGAGTCATTATGAAAGAAATGCACTTCCACAATTAAGACTTGGAAGACAACATCGTCAACCTTTAATAACGACAACAAAAGGTCGACCCCTGAAGAAATCAAAGTCATGAACCCCCAACATCTTTTTGACAGAATTTGGAAGGCACCCATGTAAGAAAATTTCAAACCCTCATCACTGATAAAGTTTGATTAAACGAGCGACCCTCGTGAGCATGTTGCCTTTATTAATACCCATATGACTACCATCAGAGCCAATGAATCCTTGAAGTGCAAGCTACTATCTAGCACCTTCAAGGACACCACATTAAGGTGGTACATGAACTTACCACGTATGTCAATTACTAGTTACCAGGATCTTGTGAAGAAATTAATCCATCAATTCTCGGCAAGTAAGCACATGAAGGTATCAACTACAAGCATGTCTAACATCTTTCAAGGTCCCTCCAAGTCATTGAAGGAGTATCTCTCCTATTTTAATGAGGAAACTATCAAAGTCATACAACTAAACCAGTAAATGTTAGTAGGGGAATTCTATAATGATTTGAGGGTTGGGCACTTCAACGAGCCCCTCGCCCATAATAAGTCTGCTTCTATGGCGAAAATCAGGTCACGTGTCGAATGCTTTATGAATGGAAAGGAGATTAATACAGAGAAAAAAGATAGAGACACCAATGAACGAATATATGGTATTCTAGATACATTGCAGCAGCAACACAAAGTCAATATACCTCGCCTATAAGAGACTCAAAGACTTTCAAGCATATTGGAAGACCCATTAAGAACTTTACGCCACTGAACATTCGTCGGGAACAAATATGGCATGAAGTCTTCAACACTCATGATATTCCTCCGCCAGCAACTCCCAAGTTTAACATTATGAGACTTGAGCATAGTAGGTAGTGCAAGTTATTGAACTATATTTTGCAGTTTAAAAAAGCTTTCACGATTAATATGATTTTAATGATGACACCTAAATGCAAGCATAAAAAGAGGTTAAATATGCAAGCAATACTAAGTAGGGTTTGATGGGTTTGATAATCACTACAAACATCCTCTAATGATGACACCTAAATGGAATATAACTCAAGCCTCGCCTCCAAGTAGAATTCAAGCAAGTGTCTATAAGATTGAATTACCTGGAAAGTCTTGAAGCTTCAAAGTGTGAAAGAGAGGAAGTGTGAAAGCTCTCCTTGCAACGTTTGAGTGAAAAGTATGTTGTAAAAGCAAAATGGTGTTTTCGTAAAGTTATATGGCTAAATCACACACATACACACTAAAACAATGTTTTCAAGCATATGTTTCTCAAAGAATTATTCCTAAAAATGTTTTGAAGTCGTACCAGTCCAATCAGGAACTGTTTGAATGATTATGAATAAAATTTGTATTGTCCAAATGATTAACACCCATACCCAATTGATTGGGTCAGTGTAAAAGTTGTACTTAATCTTTTATGATAGTGTCTTAATGAACTAGAATGACTATATACTTTTACATTCCTTTTTAAACATCATCAATAAATAATTTGATTGGCACATTAATTTTTCCCTAGTAAATTTTCCTTTTTCGTACCACCCTCTAGCATATAAATAAAGGTTTCTTCTTTCATATTTTCACACCCAGAATCGTGAGCACTCTATCTCACACTTCACCATCTCTATAAAAAGATTTCTCAACTTTCTCTCACTTATATTTAGACGTAGCGCTTTCGAGAAAGTCCTTCTGTTTAGTGAGGAATTCTTTGTAATTATAGAAGGGCAGTATTGTAATTCACCAAGAAGCATTTTATGACCTTGGTTGAATAATTTATCCTTAAGGGATTTTTTGGGCTCGAAGGTAAAATCCTTTAAAATCTTTAGTTTAAGGATTTAGTTACTAAGTCTCCGTCTCGTGTAAACTCATCCAGTTCAATCTGGGTGAATCCTAAGTCATCAATTTGTACACCATTAATATTATTGGGAATCTACTTGCTTTTAAATAAATACACTTTGAAGGTAACATAATCAATCTCCCAAATCTCCTCAATGACACCATAGAACGCACTAGATTCCAATATTAGATTCTTATCTTTCGAACTAGAGAAATACATGGATTTGGCCTCAACCATAATCCCACTATTTTGCATTGTACTACGACCATCTTTTGATTTTGTATAAAAGGTATAATGACCAATATCATATGCAGTCTAAGTTATCACATTAAATTTTGGCATGTAAGAAAACCACTTAATTGTCTCGGATGCACTATGATCATTTGGTATCCTTTTATTAAACCAATCTAGGAATTTCTTGTTATACTCGATCAACAACAACTTATCACTCATTTGTGGATATCTTTTCTTCAAAAGTCTTTTATGAGTAGCCACGTAAGGTTAAACTTCTTCGAGATTATTCAATCTATAAAAATATGCCAGAATAACTACATCCCGAGCCATTGACTTAACATTTAAACCTTGAATACATCTACCTTCAGTGTCAGCATGACAAGACTTTGAAATTCCTATAGACTCAGCTTCCGACAAATTGTTTGTACAAAACTCAACAACTTCTTCTGTGATGTACGTTTCAACAATCGAAGCCTTCGGTCGGTGATAATTCTTCGTATATCCTTTAAAGATCTTCATGTATCACTCTATTGGATACATCCACCTTAAATAAACTGGACCACAAAATCTGATTTCTCTGACTATATGAACAAGTAAGTGAACCATATTGTCAAAAGAATATAGTGGAAAATACATCTTCGAAAGGCCACAAAGAATAGTTAGTACTCAGATTATCAAAGAGGTTCATTCCATCGGTGGCAAGCCCAAGCCTAAGGTTTCTTGGCTCAGTGCCAAAATACGGAAATAACGAATCAATCTTCTTCCATTACAAAGAATCATCTACATGGCGTATGTTTCCATTACGTTTTCTTTCATCTGCATGTCATCTAATACTCTTTACGTTATCGCATTAACAAAAAGCCTCTTGAATCTTGAAATTATTGGCAAGTACCATAACACTTTAGCAAGAGGACTCTTCCTACTAACATTGTCATTGTCATCACCATTGTTGTCCTTCAGCTTCTAATGCGACACCCAACATTCTGGACATTGATCCAAAATTTCATACTCCAAACCCATTGGACACAATATCTTATTGGTATCATAATAACGATCAGACAAATTGTTATCTTCTGGTAGCATTTGTTTTAGCAAATAAAATAATTCCGTGAAATTTTTATTTGACCATCCATTTTTTGCTTTCAGATTAAACAATTTTAACACCGCAAACAATCGTGCAAAACTTGTGCACCCCTTATATAAATGGGTATCCTTATCACTACATAAAGTATCATAAATTTGTCTTTCTTAAAAGAAGATTCTCCAATATCACGAAACATATCTTCTAGTCGGTCATCCATATATTTATCTTTATCAACTTCGTGACATTGTAACACCCTGTTTCACTTTTTTTTCACCTTACCACGCCACGTCCATATTGTATAATTTTGACATATACCATCTCAATATAGGTGATGGAATATCTCATCCTTTGTACCTTTATTTATATTCCTGCAATTAACACAAGGACAATAAAAGATACCATTATTGTTGGGAAGATTTTGATTATCTTATTCAACGAATTCAAGAACTCTTTTCTCATATACCAGACCTAATCTATCAGCTTTCATCCAACTATGATCCATAATAAATTATAAAATTTATATCAAAAAAGTATTATGAATGGCACAAAAAAATATAAATCTAAAGCATATCGAAAAACTAAATCATATTCATAACAATAATACAACTCTAAATCTTAAGCATATGGATATCCATTGTAGAAAAGTTATAATATTTATGTTCACTGCTAAATCCAACAAAAAAACATAAAGCATATG